CCCACCATATTTGAGAATAATGAAAATTGCGAGAGTAATCACCGCTTGAAATTACTTGTCGATATTTTAAGAAGATTTTTTACAATTCGATTACATCATGCAGGAACATCTAAATTTGAACAAGAGGAAGAGCTTAGAATAAGAACAAAAAGTAATAAGATTGTTCTTTTTAAAAATTAATAAATGCGCCAAATCTTGTTATTATATTTAATGTTTTTATAATTTGTTAATGTTAACTAATAATAATTGAATAATATAATTAGTAATATAATTATATTTATATTTGCAACATTTATTATGTATAATGATTGACTAATATAAAATATATTATAATTATGAGAAATGCTATGTACAGAAATTATTATGCATCATTTACCCTTCTCAAAATTATATAAAGAAAAGTATCTACATTCTAATAATAAGAAACAACATAAGCATAAAAGCCAACGTTATTATTGCGAGTAAAGTCATCCATGTTTACAACATTCTACAAAATCTAGACGTTTCGACCATAATTAGGTCATCTTCAGTAATATAAAATAAACCTTAATTCTCTATCTTTCGATCTCTATTAATTACAATTCTTAACTGCTCATCGCAAACTTAATTTAAACCTTCTTAAACGTTCCTTATACACCATACCAAGCTCCTTATACACCATATCAAGCTCTTATATAATATATCGATTCCTCAACATTTGCTCCGTCTTCAATTTCATTCCATTTTATATCATTTTGAGATAATTTAACGGTTGGAGAAAACAGTAGATGACAACTGGAATGTTGTTTCTTATTATTTTATATATAAGCCATTACTTAAGTGTACTGTAATTATCTACATTCTTTTTACGTATATAAACCATGAGAATAAGTTCATCCTTATAAAAGTATATCGTAACGCAAAAAATGGTCCTGGGGCACACAAACATCTTACTACGCTACTAATTAGAAAGAGACAGAGCTTGGCCCACACCGGTCGCTATCTCTTTCTTTCGGGCCGGACATATTTTTTCAGCCTATGCGCAGTCCATACTATATGTCG